ATAAAGTTTCCTGCGGTTCGCCAGTATAGCGGGAAACTATTGTCTTCACATGATGATAACAGCCAATCGTTGGCTTTATGTTAATCACGTGATTTGTACGTATAAAAGCAGAAGTCTGCGGTGAGCAATTATTCTATGCTGGACTAGCCACAGTTCAGTCGTGCATAAATATATTTATTGTTTATTTTTATTAAGTCTAATTTAGCATATTGGATGAAACCCGAAATCCACCCTCTGGCACACATGGCAAGGCTACGGGTACAGGTTTCCAGCTGTATTTTTCCACAATAAGGGGTTTTTATCTCTGTTTTTTTCTGGGCGGCTGTGTGCCAAACAAAGGGGGAATATGCATTTTGTTTCAGTTAATTTTCATCTTCAAGTTTATTACTAACTTTTCAGTAATGCGAACTTAAGTTGTTTCTTTATTGCGTTTTTGTATAGTACAAATAATTGGTTGGTCGGACTGTCATGTGGCTAAATCCTGCAACCTTACCTTATTGATACCGTGTATTGCATATTATTGAGTGGATGTGCAGTCTAGTGAAGACGACCACTTCCCTCTCTCAGTACATCTAACATTCTCTCACTATAGATGATATGAACACTGCCCTCTCTCAGTACATCTAACATTCTCTCACTATAGATGATATGAACACTGCCCTCTCTCACTACATCTAACATTCTCTCACTATAGATGATATGAACACTGCCCTCTCTCAGTACGTCAAACATTCTCTCACTATAGATGATAGAACACTGCCCTCTCTCAGTACGTCAAACATTCTCTCACTATCCTCGGGGGGGGGGGGGGGACATCCGGGTATTTTCACCGCCTGGCAACCGGAGACGGTGAAAACAAAGGCCCAAAACTCGCAGAAAACGGTATTTTGGGATGATTGTTGAGACTCCTCTGAACAGTGTAACAAGATTAGCCCTACGTGTGTAACATATATAAATTTGGTTGTTCAGGATTACTTCAAAGTTGAGTTTGTGTTGTTTTCTCGAATTTTCACTGGCTCGACCGGCGTTCCACAGCAGCGCGCACAGAGCCCATAGAAATGCATGTACAGTGGTGCGCGTCGTAGCAACGTGGAACGTCTTGTGACGTAGCTCCGCCCCCGAGATTAAATGATATGAACACTGCCCTCTCTCAGTACATCTAACATTCTCTCACTATAGATGATATGAACACTGCCCTCTCTCAGTACATCTAACATTCTAACTATTTTCTGTCTTTTTGATAAAAAAGTGAACTTTTGTCCCTTTTTTCCAAAAATTGATCTACACTTGTAGCCATTGACTGGAACATGCATATATTAGATTTAGTTTTTGCTACCAACTAACTAATACATTATTTTCTTTTCACAGTTACATATTAGTTCACACATTTGGTCGTCGTATGATATACCCCGGATCTCTGTCTCTATTGGCTGGTGCTGTTGGTAAGTTCCCTGTCCGTCTGTCTGTCTGTCTGTCTGTCTGTCTGTCCATCCAGTCGTATTTCAGAAGCCTGTGGACCAATTCTGTTCATTCTGGTGTCCAGTACTTTATATGGGACATGTGCACATGCAGTGGTTTACTGATTTAATCCAAGATGGCTGACTGGCACCCATAATGTTTTTTTGAAAATGCGGCATCTTATGCATGCTTTGCTTTGCTCTGTTCAAATTTGGTATATACATTATACATTTTAGATAACATGTCCATGACAATTTGTTTTACAATCAAATCAAAGATGGCTGACTGGCGGCCATCTTGCTTTTTGACCATACAACTATATCTTATGGACTATTTTCATTCATATTTGGCACACGCATCATACATATTGGAATACATAATCATGTCAGTTTGTTTTAGAATCAGATCAAAGATGGCTGACGATTTTGGAAGAGTCATTTTAATACATATAATTTCTGTTGATACTGGACCAGCCAATTATTAGTCCCCATTCAGACACAGTCCGAAAACAGGGACTTATGGAATGACCTATGTGCATCTGTGCATTCGTGTGTGTGTCCGGACCTATATCTTAGAAATGCCTTGACCGATTACTTTCAAACTTCACACATACATCACACACAATATCATACATATGCTAGATCTGATTCTGTTTCACGATCTGATTCAAGATGGCCGAATGGTGGCCATTTTTGTGCTGAAAAATCATCAAAATCAAGCATTTATACATGGATTTTGTTAAAATTTTGTACATATGTTGGACAATACCTTGATGCATGTCATTTTATTTTTCATATTAGATTCAAAATAGTTTACTGGTGGCCATTTTGTTTTAATGAATGCACTTCTAGAGCCATATATCCGACATGCTTTGACTGATTATGTTCAAATTTTATATATTCATTATACTTCATGTTATAGATATACAGATGTATTCAAAATGGCTGACCGATGGCCATTTTGTTTTAATTAATGCTGTTCTAGAGCAATATCTCTTAATATGGACAAGTTCTAGTTTGACGGTCAGATTCAAGATGTCAATCATCATAATAAAGCTTCTGGTTCTATATCTCTGACATGTTTATGTTCCAACTATATTACTATAAACAAAATTATGTATGTTAAACTAACAGGGACTGTGCCATGCATGTCCTGCTCACTCTAAAGTATTAACTATGCTTTTGGTGCATGTTACTTTATTTTTGGCATGAATAACATTCCTCCTAATTCCGGTGACTTGTTAAATTTACTTTCAGTAATGTCTGGTAAAAACTGTCAAAAGTCATATATATATTGACTTCAACACTCCTATCTAATCATCAAACACTGTACTGACTTACCCATCCTCCTGTCAAACAACCAAACACTGTACTGACTTACCCATTCTCCTATCAAACAACCAAACACTGTACTGACTTACCCATCCTATCAAACAACCAAACACTGTACTGACTTACCCATCCTATCAAACAACCAAACACTGTACTGACTTACCCATTCTCCTATCAAACAACCAAACACTGTACTGACTTAACCATTCTCCTATCAAACAACCAAACACTGTACTGACTTAACCATCCTCCTATCAAACAACCAAACACTGTACTGACTTAACCATTCTCCTATCAAACAACCAAACACTGTACTGACTTAACCATCCTCCTATCAAACAACCAAACACTGTACTGATTTACCCATCTTTCCATCTGTATACAAATATTCACCTTAGACACTAATTTACCCTTCTTCTGTCCACCATCATTTTTCTTTCCAACTGAGCCTCTATCTCCTGTCTGATTACCAGTTGCCTGTCAATGATTGCTACCATCCGTTCTAATCTAAAAATCACCCTACACCAGTACTAACTATTATTATATGGCCTTTAAATCTTATCAGGTCCTATGTTACTCCAAGGAAGGGCCAAGTTATGTGAACAGCACAATGGTATAAGGGCTAAACTGCTGGCAAGAGATAACAATGAAATTGACACTATGTTTGTAGATAGAAGAAATCAGAAGGAACATTTTAATAACGGCAATATACTGGTAAGTATGTTATGCTACTTTAATATCCAAATAAAATTCCACATATTCAAAAAAGTTCGCAATGACTGGTTGCTGTTGCTAGTGAGTTTGAATATTTGAAAGTATCGGATTGGATTTGAAAATGTTTGTCGGGCTGATTAAAAATTTATTCAAATTCAAAACTATGAAAAATTAGTGCTGCATTCTTAATTTTACAGTTGAATATTATTGTGTTATAAAGTCTGATAGGATATTCCAGTGCTTTAATTAGTTTCCCAGTTTGTCTCTAGAAAAACATCTCAGATTTGTTTGTCGATACTTTATAAATCAGTATACTATATACAATCATTGCTAAAATAGAAACTAAACATAGTTTTCTTACTGTTATATTTTTTGTACTTGTTATAGGTGGTGTGTTGTGAAGGCAATGCTGGATTTTATGAAGTTGGATGCATGTGTACACCTCTTGAAGGTTAGTGTTCAGGTGATGTGTTGTGAAGGCAATGCTGGATGCATGTGTACACCTCTTGAAGGTTAGTGTTCAGGTGGTGTGTTGTGAAGGCAATGCTGGATTTTATGAAGTTGGATGCATGTGTACACCTCTTGAAGGTTAGTGTTCAGGTGGTGTGTTGTGAAGGCAATGC